CGTGTGTTTGGTCAAAACAACTGCGTACGATCAAAACAATAATATGCAATGATAAAACTTCGCATCTTTAAGGTGCAAAAAAGTTCAAAGTCCGGCTAAACAGTTCAAGGAATTGTTCAGTCTGTGTCCGAATCACTTTTGATGAAATGGAATCGTCGTTTCCGAGGTTTAACCATGCTTGTTTTTAATTTCGGCGTTGGATCGCTCGAGCAAAGTGTTAAGCCGGGTCGGCTCGTAATTTTCGATTTCCTCGGCAATTCCCTTCTCTAAACACCACTTTTTCCAAACCGACAACCAAAAAGCAGCGCCTTTTACAGTGTTTTCATTGTTTAAGCTGTTTTTCAGCTGCGGTGGCGAAAGAAAACCTACATAAAACGCCGGCCATTGTTTCGCTCGCAAATTTTCAAATTTTCAAACTTTGTTGCGACATCCAAAGCTCGCATTTGATTGGCTATCTGTGAGTTTCTTTGATTATTGACCAATCAGACTGTCTGATTTGTTTCTTTCTTTGCACTGAATTAACCCTCTTCTGCACTGAATTAACTCTCTTCTGCACTGAATTACCTGAAAACTGCATTTATCTTAACCAATCAGAACTGAGTAATTTTTCCATGTATATTATTAACATGGTTATATGCGCAGAGGATTCTGTTGTGTTCACGTGAGGGCCATTTCAGTTATTCCTGCCACTTATAAGATGTAGGAAATAAAAATATGCATACTTGTTTCGTATTGAGGCCGTGCGAAATCACAAATATGATTTATTTCTTCTTTGTTTTCGTTTGGGCCGACTAGCGTTTTGCAGTTTCGCTTTCGCCCAGTGAGTTGTTAATTTAGGTTCTCGTTCTCAGTTTTTACCGTAGGTGTACGAAGATCAAGTCAAAACAGCACGCTATGTCAAATGGTGAAAATATTTAAATTTAAAAGAAGGTTTACTCAATCATGGAATGACTTGTATTGGTGCGGCTACGCGTAAAAGAGTTCTCTGCATATCGTCCCCAACATCAGTAAAAAATATTTCTCTCTAAATATTTGATGGCGAGTGGACTTCGTCGAGCGATGGATGCATCAAATCGGTTGGACTTTGGCCTCGACGGTGGAACGAATATCGATGGTTTCAACCACGCTGGAGATGGAATGGATCGTGGATTGCCTGATTTTCCTATCCAGTTTCCTGGTACATCGACGGTAGAAGGAAACGTTAGTTCTGGTTGTACCACAACAGATGTGTTCGCTTGGCCATTAAGCTACGGTGGCTCTTCGCTCAGACCCAGGCCCCCACCGAGCACCCGCATCGATTTCGAAGAATTGAGTCGGCAAAGGGACTCTCGGGAGCAACGCAGCACAGCCATGCTGTGGACAAATGTTTGCAAGGAAATTGAAAGTTTACTGATGGTAATTCCGTCCAAACTTCATGCAGGCCAAAGCCCAGAAGTAACCAAGAAAATTATTGACTTTCTCGCGGAAAAGTGGAAGGTACTGGAAGAGCTACACACGAAATAACTTTCTGGAATAAATGAGAGAAAGCGCTTAGAAGAGGTACAGAATCGTTATTCTAACCTGAAACGTAGTACACATGACGTCATTAATGAGTGCGAAGGTTTCTTGCAAAAATTGGGCTCTCCACCTGGAAAGGTTAGAATGGATCCTGGACTAACAGACCAGGACGTGGAACGTGATGACAATGTGTCAGTTTACTCTAAGTCTTTTAGTGGATCCGGATCATCACGTAAGAAATCGCTGAAAAGGGCGCTTGTCTCGAAAATGAAACTGGACCTGGCAAGGGCTAGGGCAAAGGAGGAAGCTGAAGCAGCTCGAATGACATACGAACATAAACAAAGAATGAAACTTAAGCGCCTAGAAGAGGAAGCATCATTAGCTGAACAAGAATGGAAGATTGAAACAGAGTACAATGATGAGGGAGGTCTGACAGCTGGCGCTGCTAGTTCCTTGGATGCTACCACGTTCCTGGTTGATAAGAGACCACATTCTACTCCGGTCACTTCTGACAAAATTGAGGCCAGTGTATCTGACGCAAACCCAGGAGCTACCTCCGCCACTGGTAAGGAGACCGTATCCCAACTGAACCCTTGTACAGAAACGTCAGCCACCCCAGTGTCGGGAATTTTGAAGCCTCGGGACAGCATGAAAACTCAACCGAAGTCATCCCTTTCAAGGATAGAGTCTAATGTCCCCAAGACCCTTGACAGCGTGAAATCACCCCAGTCCTTCAGAGTACCCAGTGTCCAACAATCACAGAGGGCTACTTGTGGCGACCACGCCCCACATGATCCTGTCGCAGCAATGTGGAAGGCTCAAATGTTGGATGGTATGCAGCCAACATGGTTTAGTGGGAATCCAGTGGATTTCCCCTTCTTTCGTGACGAAATGCGTACACATCTTGAAAGTGATTTGCTTACTGATGCCCAGCGTGTTGAATATCTCCCCAAGTTTGTTACTGGAGAAGCTTTGGAAGTGGTAAAGCGAAACAGAGGCTGTTCATTTAACGACAGCATGAAAACCCTTGAGGAACGCTTTGGCCAAACAATAAGGGTAACTCAAGCATGCATAGAAGATCTTGTAGCTGGGCCAAGGCTGACCTATGGGGATAATATTGGACTCATGAACTTTTCTGAGAAGCTGAACGCGGCTACAAAAATTCTTCAAGGCGACATTGAACGTGAAGCAAACGTCGCAACAAACCTCAAGCGTATCGTTAGCCGTCTTCCTAATGACCTGATCATCAAATGGCAAAACGAAAACTATGAGATTGTTAAGAGCGGAAGGTCTCCTCAGCTGAAGGACATTGCTGCCTTTGTGAAGAGACAAGCGTCCATTAGAAACGACCCAGTGTTCGGAGATCAAATGTTGAAGCGAGAGAATAAAGAGCCCAAGGCGCTTCCCAAACGTCCAATAAGGAATCCCACAATTGGTGCCACGGATCTTGAATTTAAACCTCCCGCCCCTGGCTTGAGAAGCTGCGGAGTCTGCAAGTCTAAGCGTCATAAACTTCAACATTGTCCTATAATCAAGAAGTGTGAGCATGTTGCAGTCCGAAGACAGTATGCGGCCTCCTGCGGCGTTGAAAAGCCTGGGTATGGTTCTAGCTCGTGCCCTGAACCGCCCGCATGCTCAAAATGCCTAGTGCGTCACCTTAGTCTTCTGCATACTGACAAAGTTCAGGATGGCCGCCGTCCTAACCCACCCAACAATAAGGAGTCCAACGACAAAGGTGACAAGCCCCCAGCCATCTCCCATCCTGCTAGTCACGAGGGAGCGAATACAGGTCAAGCTGCTAGCATTAGTTCAGACAAGCCTGAACCAATATCCATATCGTCAGCCGGTTTGTCTACCGCCGAAACACAAGTTTTGTTGAACGTTGTACCTGTCATTGTCACCGCGATGAATGGTAATACTGTATCAACCTACGCCTTTCTAGATAGCGGCTGTACAGATACCCTCATCGACCGTGGTTTAGTTGATCATCTTGGTATACAAGGAAAACCTGAGCAGATTGGAATTAATACAATCACGAACAGTGGCAAGGTCATAGAGTCCAATCGAGTATCCTTCACCTTGAGTTCCGTGGAGAGTTTTGGAGAAAGTATTGAGGTCTCTGAGGCCTATGTCCTACCTGACCTTAACCAGTCGCAGCGAGCATTGCCAGAGCGAATTGATGTCCACAATCACCCTCACTTGTGTTACATTGAGTTTCCAGCAGTTGACATTAAGAGAGTGTCCATTCTTGTGGAAAACAACATCCCCTATGCACACATCCAGAAGGAAGTTCGAGTCCCTGAAGATGCAAGGAAAGGACTTTATGGTTGTCGTTACCCCCTTGGTTGGTGTGTTTGCGATTGCTATGGTAGCAAGAATCCCCCGTAAACTTTGTTTCAGTTGATCACAAGCCCGTTGATCTCATTGAAAGATTCTGGAAACTTGAAGATCATGGAGCAGTTAAGTCAGGAGGAAGGCCCCTCTCGATTGAAGACAAGAGAGCGATTGAATTGAAGACACCACACGTCTTGTAGATGGACGTTATGAAGTGGGCATGCTTTGGAAGAAGGATGAGCACTGGTTTCCAAATAATCTTGTCATGGCCAGACAGCGCTTAGAGTCCCTGAGACGTCGCCTGACAAAGTCAGGGAATGAAGAGATGGCCATCAAGTATCGTGAAGTAATGGACAGTTACATCAGAAGTGGATTTGCCCGCAAGTTGTCTGAGAAAAAATAAGCTAAGGAATCCAGTACTCATTGGTATCTCCCACATCACCCTGTAACTTCTCCTACCAAGCCTGGAAAGGTGCGTATTGTTTTTGATGCGGCAGCCGAATATGAAGGAACTTCTCTTAACAAAAATCTGTTGAGCGGGCCAGACATGACCAACAGTTTAGTCGATGTCCTCCTGCGCTTTCACCAAGGCACGATTGGTATTGCCGCAGACATTGAAGGAATGTTCCACCAGATTCGTGTGCACGAAGAAGACCAGGATTCATTAAGCTTTTTATGGTGGACAAATACCTATGAAGCCCCACCTGACGTTTACGTTATGCAAGTACATATATTTGGAGCAGAATCTTCGCCTTGTGTTGCTAACTCCACCCTTCGGCGAGTTGCCGACGACATTGCTCAGGACTTCAGCCCCAGTGTCATTGCAGCTATAAAAGGAAATTTCTATGTTGATGATGCTCTCCCTTCTGAGAATGATGAGCAGTCAGCCATTCACCTTGCCCGAGATATGGTCGACGTCCATTTCATTTCATTTCATTTTTCATTTGGTTTCAAAATAAGGCATCTTGACCGCCCTGAGACTAAACGTGGCATCTTGTCTACTGTTTTTTCCCTGTTCGATCCGCTGGGGTTCGCTGCACCTGTAGCACTGGCTGCAAGAAGTTTGGTGCAAGACCTGTGGATGGCTAATGTTGGATGGGATGAGCCTCTGGGTGAAGAGTTTCTGTCAAGGTGGAGGTCGTGGAAAACTCAACTACCTTCCTTGTCGTAGTTGCGTATTCCGCGATCCTATTTTCTGCGAGATGGCGACCCGCAAGACTGCAAGTTGCAACTCCATGTCTTTTCAGATGCCTCAGAAGTCGGATACGGTGCATCGTCCTACCTAAGAGCTGAGTACCCGGATGGTCAGGTTCATTGTACCTTTATCAAGGGGAAGGCTAGGAATGCACCAGTGAAGTTTGTCAGTATTCCCAGACCAGAGTTGCAGGCAGCAATACTTGCAACTCGCATATGGAAAATGCTGCGAGACGAATTAGATCTGAACATTGACAGGACATTGTTGTGGACTGATAGTGAGATAGTGTTGCACTATCTAAAGAATGAGAAACGAAGACTTCAAACCTTCGTAACCAACAGAGTTGAAGAAATAAAGGAGCATTCACCCGTGCATGATTGGAACCATGTGCAAGGGACTTTGAATCCCGCAGACTATGTGTCAAGGGGATTGACCCCATCTGCTCTGACTGTTGATCACAGCTGGCTTCGTGGACCTGAATTCCTGTGGGGACCAGAACATTCCTGGCCGAAGCAAGAGTGTAGAACTGTGCTTCGTGAAGATTTGGAACTGATGAAAGAAACTCATGTACACTCTCTGGAACTGAACCCCGATTCAGTTGTGGCGAAGAAAGGGAGCTCGAAATTTGAACCCATCAAAGATCCTATGGATGATCCCTTCCAAGTGCTTGTAACAACCTGCTCTGATTGGACCCGCCTTAGACGCAAGGTAGCGTGGCTCTTACGATTTACGCAGTTCATTAAAGATAAAGGAAAGGTCCAGACTGGAAGGTTGACTGTTAATGATTTGAATGCAGCTACATTGGCTATCGCAAGGATTGTTCAGGGCTCAGCATATGCAGAGGAGATAAAGGATCTGAAGTCGAATGGTGCCATCAAAATATCGAGCAAGATTGCAGCCTTGAATCCCGGATTGGATGCCCAGGGAGTACTAAGAGTCAATGGACGTGGCCAGCGAAGAGTATCTGAATCTACCATGGGCCAGAAAATCATTCTGCCCAGGAATCATGCTGTAGCCGAGAGGATTGTTCGTCACGTCCACCATTTCATTGGTCATCTGGGGCGTAAGCACGTGATAGCCAAGTTGCGGGAAGACTTCTGGATTCCTCAAATCCGCGTTCTAGTTCGCTCAGTCCTTAAACGATGCGTCAGGTGCAAGAAAGTCCTCGCTAAACCCACGAGCCAACAGATGGCACCTTTACCAGAGGCACGCCTCATGGCATATGAAACACCTTTCTCATACACTAGTATGGACCTTTTCGGCCCCTTGCATGTCAAACATGGCCGAGGAACCACAAAGCGTTGGTGTTGTCTCTTTACCTGTTTAACTACTCGTTGTGTGCACCTGGAAGTTGTTAACTCAATGGAAACAGATGATTTCGTCATGTGCTTGAGGCGCTTCATCAATCGTAGAGGCGAAGTGAAAGAGATTCGTTGTGATAATGGCTCTAAGTTTGTGGGAGCTCAGCGCGAGCTAAAGGAGAGTCTCGAGAAATGGAATCAGGGGCGGATTGAGAGTGAGCTTATACAACATGGCTGTAAATGGATATTTCAGCCCCCTACCGCTTCGAGTATGTCTGGCGTGTGGGAACGTTTGGTTCGTAGCGCGAAGACAGTCCTGAAGGCTATCTTGGGTGCACACGTGGTCATAGACGTGGTCTTGCAAACGCTGCTCACCGAGGTCGAGCGTGTTTTGAACGGCAGAGCCTTAACTGCAAACTCTGATGATCCCAGCGACTTTGAGCTGCTAACGCCTGGACACTTCCTTATGCAGCGCAAAGTTATTTTCTTACCACCTGGAGTCTTCGACAAGTCTGACATGTATAAGAAGAAGTGGAGGCAAGTGCAATATCTTGCCAATCAGTTCTGGGAGAGGTGGCTTAAGGAGTATTTACCCAGCTTACAGACTCGGGCTAAATGGCGGAAGGCGTTACCTAACGTCAAACAAAATGCGTTAGTGTTGCTAGTCTAGGACAACACCCCAAGGGGGCATTGGAACCTCGGACGTGTCATTGAGATTATTGTATTGAGATGGGAGATCGCCCCAAGGTGGGGTGGATGTTTGGGCCGACTAGCGACCAAGCACGAATTGCGGACTTATATTAGGCAGCACATGTTTCAGTGCGAGAGTAATTTCGTGTTAGGACCTTGGGTGCTGTGTTCATTTTGATTGTTGAAGTTTTGTGCTTTTCCTACCCGTTTATCGCATAGAAATATGTAAGTACATGTGCCTCGTTTTGCAGTTTCGCTTTCGCCCAGTGAGTTGTTAATTTAGGTTCTCGTTCTCAGTTATTACTGTAGGTGTACGAAGATCAAGTCAAAACAGCACGCAATGTCAAATGGTGAAAATGTTTAAATTTAAAAGAAGGTTTACTAAATCATGGAATGACTTGTATTGGTGCGGCTACGCGTAAAAGAGTTCTCTGCATATCGTCCCCAACAGTTTTAGGTGGTAAGTAGTTAACCTGAAGATTGGTTCTTTTAACTAATTTTATTGAGAGCCAAATCCTGTAAGGCTTATATTCTGTATTAGTTTGAAGTGTTACTTTTATGTTTATTATTTTGCGGTAAGTTGGCTTTTTATAGCCATTTTTTCTCTAAAACATTTTTTTTCAGCCTAGTCAAAATGTTTTTGAGAAATAGGCAAGCTGGCTATAGTAATAGGAGGTAGAGGCCAAACCTCATCCAGACTAGACGCCTAACAGATATTTTGTTGTAGACCGCCAAATCCCTGGTTACTGGCACATTTTGACTGAGCTATTTGTTATTTAGCTACGAAGTAATCTTATTATTAAAGATTAATACTTTCCTTTTTAATAATTTGCTGCTGATTGTATGCTGTATATAGCTTATGATTTGCGTGATTTCAAAAGTAAATTAGAAATACCTGAAGATGGTAATAACGTACTAGATGCTGTACTTTATGCAAAGTCTTAATAGCAAGTTACAATCACCTATGGACAAGGCATACACTTTGTACCAAAATTGCTTCACATCAAGTACATCATCTAGTACATCATTACCATCTTCAGGTATTTCTAACTAACTTGTGAAAATCACACAAATCATAAGCCATCTACAGCATACAATCAGCAGCAAATTAATAATAAGATTACTTAGTAGCTAAATAACAACAAGCCCAGTCAAAATGTGCCAGTAGCTGGGGAATTGGTTCTCAATAAAAATAGCTCAAATAGCCAATCTTGAATTTTACTGCTCACTCAAAATGGGCTGGCAGCCTGCAATCTGACCGCCTACAATCAAGTACCTGCTGACTTCACACCTTTCAGACTGCCTTTCAGGAAGAGGTTTGGCTTCTGCTGCCTATAATTACTACAGCCAGTTTGTTTACTACTCAAAAACATTTCAACTGGGCTGTGCAAGTGTTACTAGCATATAAAAAGCACCTTCAGGTAGATTAGAGCAAAGCAGCCCTGTACCAAAATTCTCTGCATTAAGTACATCATTACCCTCTTTAGGTAGTTCTAGTATACTTGTGAAAATCCCAGAAATCACAAGCTATATTACATCATACATTCAAGTTGACAGAGCAATCAGGGGTAAATTTTTCATAATAGGATGCAATGATCTTCAGTATCAAGATCATTTGGTACCTAAATGGTAAAATGTTCGAGGGAGTAAATAACCGTAAACATTTTTTCTTTCTCATCAGCATCGACTTCCAAATAATAATGGATAATGACCACCTAAAACAAAGAAGAAATAAATCATATTTGTGATTTCACAAGGCCTCAATACGAAACAAGTATGCATATTTTTATTTCCTTCAACTTAAAAGTGGCAGGAATAGCTGAAATGGCCTTCACGTTAACACAACAGAATCCTCTGCGTGTGTAACCATGTAAATCTATTTAACAAATAGATTCCAAGTTGCCGTGCGTCTGTTCAGTAACAGATCACAGAGGACGTCAAAATGTGGTAAGAACATCAGTGACACACTCGGCTGTGCCTCGTGTGCCACTTTTTTGTTCTTACCACATTTTGACGTCATCTGTGATCTATTACTGAACAGACGCACGGCAACTTGGAATCTATTTGTTTTATATAATAAAGAATTAAAAAAAGTTTTAATGATGACGTCATCTATACGTCTGTCCTCCAATAGATCATAAGTGAGAACCAATCAAAACGCGTGCATAACTGAGCTTATTATGTAATTATTTGTAGTCGAAATTACATCCCAAATGTCATGATATTTGAATGAAATTCAGCTTACCCATCTTATGTTTAGACTTCGAAACTTGCTGCTTTTTTACCACCGTTTCAATGTTTTCTTGTTGTTCAAAAGGTGGTAGGGCCATTGCAGATAGTGATTTTTTTTTTACTTGAGAACCAGATCACGACACCCAAGCCTTTTCACGCTAAAATGTTAAACTACTGAGATTTCCTTCGCCGCCGTACGCTGCCATTTTATCTTTCCCTGTATACTAGTTCCCAAGCTTCGATCCCGAAGGTCTCACACATGCAATGAAATAATGCTATTCATTATTTCAGGGCCAATTAAGAAGTAACGATAATCATTATTTCGGTGTCGAGATCATGCTGATTTTCGAAATCTCTTGACGACATTATGGGCACCAGTCTAACCCAAGCACACCACTTGGCGGGATTATCGATATCTGTTAATTTGGTGTCATGTAGCAATAACTGCTATCAGTTAATTTCGACCTGGAGGATATGTTGTTCCACAATGGATGATCATTAATTGATGATACCGGTGATGTAGTCCTGATGGTGGATCCCGGCAACCCACGCGGGCATCGGCCTTTAGGTCGAATTCAAGAGGTTTTTCCTGGCCCTGACGGGAAGGTCAGAGTTGTACGCGTTAGAACAGGAGACCAAGATTATGTGCGACCAATTAAAAAGTTGTGTCCGTTAGAGATAAAAAGAGGACGAAAGGATCAGAACGGAATCCTGGTCGAGGGGGAGGATGTTCCGGCGAACGCTTGGTCATTAACGCCGTCCCCGAACAAAACATTGCATGCTAGAATTGAAGAATTTATCGTCGAAATGATCAACAAGCTAGATATTCCTGGCACCGATCTGTTGAAGTATGCTGACAATACGAGTATTTCGGAGACAATAAGCAAGAATCAAGACAGTCATATCTAAGCTGCTGTTGAAATCCTAGCACATCGTTCGTCCATGGATAAGTTTCAACTAAACGAGACGAAATTCAAGGAACTGTGTATATATTCTATCACTAACAACACCACTTTATTCGATCCAGTTTTGTTAATGGTGTGTCTATTGATCTAGTTGTCAGTTCCAAAATACTGGGCCTCAACATCTCCAAAGATTTGAAATGGGAACTGTCACATTGACTTCATTATCAAGAAAGCCAAGAAGCGCTTGTATAGCTTGTATCAGTTTAAACGCTTTGTTCTTGCTACCTGAGTTAGTTCAGTATTTCTGCAATTGCATTCGTACAATCACGTACCCTTCCAACGAGCTCAAAAGAGCACAAAAGCGAGCTATGTAAATCATCTTTCCCTTTTTCTTATATAATGAGGCATTGGCTAAATCTGGCCTAGTGAAACTTTCAGATCTCCGTTAGTGTAACATATTAGCACGTGATAATTAGCACTTGTTGTAAGTTGTATCGTGTGTACACATATTTAAGTAAGCTGATGTGCTAAAGTCGAATGCAATAAAGTCCTCGATGTTGTATATCGCATGGTGGCAGCTAATCGTTGGCAATCTGTTTGCCGGTTCGGCAAACGGAAACAATTCAACCAAAGAACAAAGCCGGTCTTCAAAAAGTGATTCACACCATTGAGGATAGGAGCGACGATGATGACGATGAAATCCTGAAAATCAGTACCATCGAGGTCGACGCCATGGAAGACACGCGACGTTCGATACACGATACACGCGACGAAACCTTTGCAACACTTGAGATAACTCAGCCAGACAAGAAGTGGAAAATTTATCTCCAGTGCAAGGTAGACAAAGGTGCACAGAACACCGTTTTGCCTATCAGAATACTTCGCATAATCGTCCCGAGAAGTTTTGACGATGAAGGAATTCCCAAACCAGAAACACCGGAAAAGAACGAAGCCATCCTTTCAGCATATGGCAGCTCTATAATAAAGTCGTTCGGACCATAAATATTCCTTGTAAGTGCAAAGAGAAGAAGATCAGTCACAGACACTTCAGGGCCAGCTATTCTCGGTCTAAAAGCGTGCACTGCACTGAAACTAGTCTCCTTACGTTGTTCACTCAGAACAAATTAACTAGACCAGGCCGATCCAACTAACAGCTTCAATGTTCCAGCTCAAAATTCAGGTACTGGCAAGAAAGCCCGAATTAGATCGGAAGCCAAGTACCACTGAAAGAACGGCCATCAATCAGAAATAAACAAGAATTGATGGGGATGTACCTAGAATGTTTTATTGGCATTGTTGGATGTTTTGACAACAATACGTATGATATCACACTAGATCCTGAAGTATCACCGGTGGTCCACGCACCCAGCAAAGTGTCCATAGATTTGAAAGACAAACTACAAGTCCAACTATATGAGATGGAAAGCCAGAGTAACACAACCCACAGATTGGGTTAACTTCCTGGTTATTAGAGAAAAAGAAAATGGGCGACCTCGTTTATGCTTCGATTCTAAGGAACTGAATAAGGCGATAAAAAAGAACATCATCCTATACCCACATTAGAGGAAATTGCACCCAAATTAGCAGGAGCAAAGCTCTTTAGCAAGCTCGATGCCCGCAATGGCTATCGGAATGTCAAATTATATGAAGAATCTTCATACCTAACAAATTTTAATACACCGTTTGGTCGATGCCGTTTCCTTAGGATGCCATTTGGCTTACGAATGAGCCAAGATATCTTTCAATTCAAGATCTACGAGACATGTCGTGATTGCCAAGGAGCCATTGGCGGCTGACGTTAAATAATGACGTTAAAGAATGAAAAAGAGCATAACATCACCTA